CCCCAAAACCCCAAAACCCCAAAACCCCAAGTGTAAGTATTATCGATTGTTGAGAGGAAAATTAATACAGCTAAATAAACTAAATAAAGATAATAATAGTTTTAAGAAAGACAGGGTAAAATAAATATGGACACTGATTCTATGGAATATTTAGACGATGAGTATTATGATTACTACAATGAAGACGATGAAATGGGCACATCGAGGAATCTAGATGGAGGGGGTTCAAAGAGCAACAAAAACAGCATGAACAAGATGCGTACTTCATTTGGTTTGAACAGCTCTGTTACATTGTCGTAGGCAGCCTTGGCAAACAGCAGCAAGTTTAAATCATAAATTACTTCTATGCCGATGGGACTGCGAGCTTCAGGCAATAACAAGAAGAATACACAGCAGTAAACAGCTTTTCTCAAGGCTGGCACCAAAATTCATCATGAAGATGAGGATGTACTGCAGGATGACAGTAAAACTGACCTGAATAATAGAACTAGAAACAAATCTCAAATTGACAATGATGATTTTGATGAGAATTCAGAGGATGAACTGAAAGAGGGCATGTATGTGAGTAATAGTCAGAGTCAACTGCAGAAGCCTTTAAGTTTTGGCTTGAGTGAGGACATGGTCTACTCTTCACATAAACAGCCAGTCAAGCACTTCATTCTTAATCACAATAATCAGTAAGCTATATATCCCTGTAAAGTATCCATAATGTGCATATATAGACTGTATGTGACTGCAGACGACAAACAGATACACTTTTGGTCGATTCAAACAGGCTTGAGAAAGAAAGTCATGCATCTGCCTGACTTTTTAAAGACACACTCTTGCGTCTCAGCTATCGCTTTTTCTCATAAGTTTAGAGTAATTACTATATGATTAAATCAAATTGAATGCTAGTTATACTTATTAGTGACTGTGGAATTCAAGATGTTATTCTTCAATGAGACTTATAACATAGTTAAGTCTATGGATATGAGTAGCATTCGACTGGTTAACTTTGCCTAGTTCTACGATGCTGAGAGTAAGCTCATTACTGCAGGCATTGATGGAGTATTCATCTTTGATGTGCACTACCATGGAAAGTACGATCCCTAGCAAGCAGCTTAAATTGACCCAGAAGGAAGATCGATAAGAGTAGATCTTAAAAATAAAGTAAAAAAACACCTTATAGTATAAAATTTATAGATGACACTTGAAGGAATGCCTATTTGGGCAAAGGGTATGAAGATAGACGAAGAAAATAACATGATAGTGACATGGGATCATCTTAACTTGACCTTCCATGATCTACGAGGGCCTGAACACAAATTACTTAACAGCTACAAGAACTTGCTGTAAATAAACTCAGCAGATCATATGAGTGATACAAATCAAAACATTACAGATGTACTTGTCAGCAAAGAATACAAGTACTTTGTAACAGCCACTAGTCTGGGTTAGATGATGGTCTGGAAACACTAAAAAGTTAAGAAGATGATTCATCTCTACACTGGTCATTTCAGAGACATTGGTGCATTAGCAAAACATCCCTCAGGAGATGAGAGTATGTTTTTATCAGTTTCACTCGATGGTTCTGTCAAAATTTGGTCATTAGATGTAAGAGATTACTAATATTTTTTGATATTCTATCTATAGAAATTTTAAATGCTTTATGAATTTGGATTCCCTTATAAGGCCACGATGTGCAGATTTGCTTTGAGTTCTAAGAAGGTGTTCATTGTGTAGGGAAGTAAAATTTTAATGAATGATCTATTCCTGAATGCTGTGCCCTTTACCTTACCTTCTGAAGTTGAGATTAAATACATTAAAGCTAGTCATAGATATATACCAATCTACGAAGGATCAGATTAAAAGATGATTCAACAGTTTTAGTTGGTAATGTGTGAGGATAACACAGTGTTCGTCTAAGATATTGAGACTCAGAGAATCCAAAGCACTATATTCCCACCACCGACAGCTCAGCAAACAATAGCCATATTTCATTCGCATAAGCTTAACAGGCTCTTAGTGTTGCTGATCACTGGTTCAATATGTATCTATTAGTTTGAAAAGGAGACAGCTTTGCTTGAGAGGATTCAATAGCCAAATTAGCTCAGAGATAGTGAGGGGAAAGGCACTGGCAAACAGAAGATCATGTGCACAGCTCTGATTAAATGCTACAAAAGGCAGCATCATATCGTGCCTTTTGATCAAGATATATTCAATGAGAGAGTGCATTTGAATGCAGTTTAGAATTATGTTAAAGATGGCTTGGAGGATTAAGAGTACTTTGCTTTTGTAAGATTATTCTCTGATCATGCTTTTGATACTAGGGAATGTCGAAAGGTTCGTTGTTTATCGTTAACACCTAGAAAATGGAGTAAATATATGCTAGAATCACAGTGAGCAGAGCTCCAGTTAGAAACATCCACTATGTCCCCACGAAATAGATATTCATCACTATTTGCGAAGAACTGATAGTCAAAGTAAGCAGATATTGGATGTTTCATAATTTTAGATATGGGGCATTGATTAGAGGGAGAAAAAGATAAACATCTTTTATCAGATGCAGATATACAGACCCATCAAGTATCTAGTTAATATCATGAATGACTATGTGCTCTTTGCTTTTGAATCTGGAGATTTCGAGATATTTGAAGTTTAGGCATCATTTGGATTAGTAAGGCAAATGACTCTCGACCCAAAGAGACAGTTTGTTCAGCAGCAATAAGTCCGTGTCAATCATCTCGAAGCTGAAAAGTCAAAGGAGCATGATTCTCCTTTAACTGGTGTTGACTATCATGAAGGACTAAACCTTTTGGTTACTTCCTGCTAAGAAGGCATCATTAAAATTTGGAGAATGCCATACAAGATCATGATCAAGGAAGTTAAGTTTCCATCAAGAGTTGACTCAGTTTGCTTTAAGAAGGGATGGGAGACACCTGAGTAGGTCTTGATTCAGCAATAGCTTAAGCCTAAGTTGGAGACTGAGAGTGATTATGATGATTAGGAATCTAAAAGTGAAGTGAAGGAAGAGCAACTACCTCCAATTAATGGTGACATCATAGTAGCGCATGAGAAGAGAGTGTCTTGTATCAAGTACGAAACGTACTGGGACTAGAAGGAGTAACTTCTACTGGGCAATCTGGAGGTCAAAGAAATCCCGAGGACTGAGATCTCAGAGCAGCTGTTTTAGCAAATGATGCTTAAAGAAAATGAGATCAGGGGAGTTAATAGCAACAATAATACAATCACGACGTCTGCTCTGAAAGTGTAGGGAGGCACTGCTCCGGGCAGTCCTAAAAATGTTAAGTTCAAGGACTAGAAGAGAGACACAGTCACTTCTGGGTTTAAGAAGTTCCCAGAACTGGCAGGTAAAACAGATAAAAGCCATGAGATGAAGATGGCGTTGGAGAAACCTAAAAGTCCAATGACCCTAAAAGCACTAGAGTTATTTGACAAGATAGACAGGCAAAAGGAAGAACAGTCTAAAATCAGAGATGCAAATAATCCAATCAAGCAGGATTACTTGGAGACACTCAAGAAAAGAGAAGAGCAAAATCATAACGAGCCCAAGATATCAGAAAATGAGATGTAAGCAAAAATATGTAAGCATAATGTGAATATAGGTTGTTTATGCTGCATCAGGCTCACTAGTATGGGGCTTAGGAAAGAAACCAAGAGGCTCATGAAGAAATCAAGAAGGCATTGTAAGTGAAATTAATATTTGACTATATTAATGATTATAGAAAAAATCCAAATTAGTACATCGCACTGCCACCATTGAAGTCATTTAATGAGGCTAAGAAAAAGACACTGTTAACCTAAACAACAAGGTTTGTGAGTTTCCCAATGGCATCTCAGACATCACCTTCCTCTTTCAACTTAAAGCACTAAATGCAGAAACTTACAAGAAGAGATATAACTAGCGACAGAATCACTGCAAACATTATGAAGTTCAACTCGCCCACATAGTAGAGAGACTTCGCTAATTTAAGATTAGGGCCTTTGCCTAACATGCCTAGATTCCACAGCTAGCAGCCTTTCCAAGCTGATGAGCAACTTTACACTGAGTCTATGCCCAACAGTCAATTACAACAGAATACCAGTCAAAACAACGCTCTTTTTACCTCTCAACCAACTCATAGATTACTTTAAGAAGATGACCGCTCTCTTGTCCTGCTTGAGATGCCCTCCCACTAATAGATTTCTTAAAGCTACCCTGACAGCCCCAACCCTATAGAGGAGAATGACATGACTTAGAGAATCTCAAAAAAATCTATGCTAAAGATCGGCAACAACTACACATTTATAGATAAAACACGTACCAATAAACATCAAAAAGTGAAGACTCTTAATAATTCCCCCATCAACTATAGATCTATTTACAAACTGGATGAAACATAGATAGGTGTAAATCTCCAGAATCATGTCAATAAATAGCAGTTAATGAATAATCAGAGAATGCGCAGCTTCTTGTTTCCATCTACACAGGAGACATCTCTGATAGGTAACTCTTACTAGGAAATGTCACTTCTGGATAATTCGCAATCAGTCGAGATGGCACTGAGGATTTCAGAGGAAAACCCAACTCTACAGGAGGTAAGTCGTACCAGAGATAGACCTGACTTCTAGCTATTGACTAAACAGTAATAACAGTATCTTCTAAGAAAGACTAACCTGAAAAATGTAAGTGTCAATGGCCCAAGCTCGCCACAATCAAACTGGATTGGTTCTACAACTGATGGAGGCTCAGCAGTTGGTGACCTTGGCATTAGTCAAAATAATAGTGGGGTAAACATTAGCAATCAGAAAAATCCATTCAAATCTAAGACTAATTCACTGAAGGATAACATAGAGCGCATCAAAAGAGGCAGTAATTTCAAGCCATAGTAATTACAATAAGATAAGAAGAAGTTATGAATTCAATGTGATGATGAGATTTAAGTTTATAATATAAACAGATCATGCATTTGTAATAAGATATATTTTAGTCAGTTTATTCTAATTTTGATTTAATAAGCTACTTACAATAACTTAATTTTCATTATGGGGTTTTGGGGTTTTGGGG